CTCTCTCTAGCCCCAGAAACTGGTTTCCTTACCTACTCCTCTGGTTCAGGACCACTGTGAGAGGAGATCCAGATGTGTGCCTCAGGCTGTGAACACATCATGGGTTGAGGGGGCGGCCACTGATGTTCCTCGATCAATTGTACAAGAGTAAGAGCTCCTGGGACAGGGTCTGGGGCTTCTGAACGGGGCCAAGTAAGAGTCAGCCACATCCTGAGTCTCCCCATGTGTAAAATGGGCAGAATTCTGCCCACCTCATGGCAGTCTAAGAATCAAATGCAACAATAGGCAGAAAACACCTGCACAGTATTGAAGAAGTGTTTGTCCTTTCTCTGACATGTTATAGGGTCAGAAGTCAGTCCTTCTGAAACTGGTCTCTTTTATGCTCTGGGCATGCTCTGTTGATCAATTGTGTCCGACTCTTTATGACCCCATGGACTGTAGCCTGCCAGGTTCCTCTATCCATGAGATTTTCCCGGCAAGAATACTGGAATGGATTGCCATGCCCTCTCCAGGGAATCTTCCCGACCCAGGGATTGAACCTGCGTCTCTTGCACCACCTCCGGTGTTGCAGATGGATTCTTTACTGCTGAGCCATGAGGGAAGCCCTTATGCTCTGTAGTGGCTGGATTTACTGCCTTTCTCAGTAAAGATCTTTTTGCAAGTTCAAATGGAGGGTTCCTACCCTCTCTCCCTCTTCACATTGGAGAGCTTTGGGTAGAGAAGGGAGGGCCTTGGACAGGAGTGGGCCGCGGGATGCTGGGGCAGAAGGCATTCCTGAGCCAGGGTCTGGAAGCAGGGCTGGGGTATGTCATGGTCCTGAGGAGTAGCTGGCAGGGAGGAGTGTGTGGGCTGGCCCAGTGCCCCAGAGAGTTCTGCTGGTACAGGACTTAGCCCTTTCCAAGATGAGCAGGAAATGACGGCCTAGGGCGTTTGAGGCAGTGACCACAACTGACCCACTCAAAGGGCAGCGTCCAGGAATGTGACACCTGCAGGGTGTGCTCCCCACTGAGACGCGAACTGGCAAACCAGATGCAGCCTCCAAGCTGGAGGAAACAGGAGGGTCCCGGCGGCTGGAGGTAAAATCCCAAGATTCCGGTGGTGGCATTGTGCCCGCTACAGCTGGGCAGCCCAGGAAGAGGAGACCAGCCAAGTCCCAAAGGTCAGCCTGTAAAGTCCAGAGAGGACACCTGCCTGAGGCTGGCTATTCCCACAGGATCAGCAGGGCCGGCACATCCAGTGCCCGTGATGGGTGTTTGGGGGTGGGTGCTGGAGCCGATACACTATCTTACCACTGAAAGGAAACAAGGGGCTTTAGAAGAAGAAGGATATCACAGGGGTTTCAGAGCCTCAGAGGGTCTCCCAGGGCTGGTTCCCTGTCAGCAGTTCCTGGTACTTCATGGGCTTCTTTTTTAAAACTATTTATTTATTTTATTTATTTATTTGACTGTGCCAGTTCTTAGTTGCAGCACACGGGCTCTTTGATTTTCATTGTGGCACGCAGGATCTTCAGTCTTTAGTTGTGGCATTCGAACTCTTAGTTGCAGCACGTGGGATCCAGTTCCCTGACCAGGGATTGAACCTGAGCCCCCTGCATTGGGAAGCCACTGGACCTTAGCCACTGGACCACCAGGGAAGTCCCCCATGGGCCTTTTTGGCCTTCTGTTTTTGTTAACCTAAGCATGTAGCTTAATCTCACCTCCCGTCTTTTTGTTACTCTTTATTTAAAATTTAAGAACTGCAGTTGATTTATTATCAACTTTAAGGAGAAGTCTGTTTTATTTTTCTGTCTATAAAAGCAAGATATATCATTGTGGACATTTAGGAGATATGCAAAAAAGCTGAAAAACAAGAAAATTGTTCTGGCCCTACTAGCCAGGGACAGATAATTGGTTGGCATTTTGGTGTATTTCTTTCCAATCTTCTTTTTATGCAGAGTTGTGGAGTTTGTTTTCGCCCCCATCATTGTGGTTACGCTCTATATGCAAGTTTGTGGGCATTTCTCCATGTTATTGTGAAGCCTTGGTAACCATTGTTTTTGATGGCAGCTTGACAATGCTTAGCTATTCCCTCATTGTTATATGTTTGCGTGCTCGGTGCTCAGTTCTGTCCCACTTTCCGTGACCCCACGGACTGTAGCCCTCCAGGCTCCTTTGTCCATGAGATTTCTCAGGCAAGAATACTGGCGTGGGTTGTCATTTCCTGGGTTGAAGATCCAGGGGATCTTCCCAACCCAGGGATCAAGCCTCCTGTGTCTCTTTGATTGGCAGGTGAATTCTCTGCCACCGAGCCACCTGGGAATCCCTTATTATGTGTTTGGGTTGGTTCTAACTTTCCCACTTGGTAAATAACACAGTGGAGAAAAAGTGTCCCATCTCTGTGAAGAGAAGAAGGAAGCAAAGGGTTTGAGACCACAGTAAGGATACAATTCAGGAAGGAAGACTCCCAGGGGCTCTGTTTGCTCCATCATCTTGCTGCAAATCGCTTCTATAGCCTGGCTTCAGGAGACAAGAAGCAGGGCCAAAAGGGTGGCTGTTGTAGGAGATTTCCTAAGAAACAGTTCTCTGACCACAGGAGTAGAGATAATGAATTATTTTGAAGTGGTGAGTTACCTGTCACAGTAAGTGACAGGAGGGGTCCTATAGAGGGAAGACATCCCTTTACTCTCAGGTCACATTAGGTCACATCTTGGATAAATTCCAACTCTTGGGCTCTGTGAGCTGTGTCAGAAATCATCATAAGCCCCTCAGCCAGTGATGAAGCAGCCCTCAGATCAGTGGTCAAAGAGAGACAGCCTAGAAGAGAAGGAAGAACCTTGAACTTGGAGCAAAAAGACACAATAGGTCTAATTCCTTCTCTTCCTTTATTTTGGGAAAGTCATATTTAACCCTTTGGGGGCCTCAGTTTCCCTGTCTGTCAAGTGGGATGACAATACTCGCCCTGCCTAACTTCCTGAAGTCCTGCCCATCAGGCTGTGAGTGCACTGTGACCCTCTACACATAAAATGCATTAATATCATCAGTATCAGTGACAGCAGGACCGATGATGGTGACACACCAGTGGGGTGGAGTCCCATGTTCCCCTGCTTCCCTGGGGCTCCACTTCCTGGACTCCGTGTTTCCTCTGACTTCTCTCTGTAACCCTGGCTGTGCTCCCTCTTGCAGATCGATGCTGCCTCCTTGATTGCGGCCTCCGTGATGGCTGCTCCTTGCGCTTTAGCCCTCTCCAAGCTGGTCTACCCAGAGGTAGAGGAGTCCAAGTTCAGAAGTAAGGAAGGCGTGAAACTGACCTACGGGTGAGCTCAGCAAGAGGGCCTGCGCAGAAGGACGCTGGGGGGTGGGCAGGGCCAGGAGCAGAGTCAGGGCCGCAGCAGGTCCTGTTCTCTGCCCTTCACTGTCTTTCACCAAGCCCAGCCCATCTCCCCTCTTAGCCACTGCCCTACCTATGGCTTACCTTGAGAAAATGCAAGATCCAGGTCTCGAATCTTATTTTCCAGTCTCTGACCAGTGGAATGTGCCTGGTGTGTGTGTGTGTATGTGTGTATATATGTGCTGAGGATGGCATGAAAACCACCCCACCTCCCTACATGACCCCAGCATCAATCACATTGACATAGTGAGCACTGTCCTTGACATCACTCACCTCCTAATGTCTCTTCATCACAGTCTTAGCAACCTTTGTGTAACATTTAATCCTAAAAAAATATTGAAAGACACCACTTTGGACAAGTGCACTTGGATACAATGGGCGGCCCCAACCTCATAACTTCCTGAAGGTCTGGGGCAGCATTGCCCTAGAAGAATATTACATGAGTCACATGTATAATTAACATTTCCTAGTGATCATCTTTATTGGAGAAGGCAATGGCAACCCACTCCAGTGTTCTTGCCTGGAGAATCCCAGGGATGGGGGAGCCTGGTGGACTGCTGTCTATGGGGTCACACAGAGTCAGACACGACTGAAGCGACTCAGCAGTAGCAGTGATCATCTTTAAAAAGTAAAATGGTGATTTTTTAATAAGATGATTTTAGTGAGATGTTTTGACTCAATATATCCAAAATATTGTCATTTTACTGTGTATTTGATGTAAAAATTATTAATATTTCAGGGACTTCCCTGGTGGTCCAGTGGTTAAGACTTCATGCTCCCAATGCAGGGGGTGTGGGTTTGATCCCTGGTCAGGGAATAAGGGCTTCCCCGGTGGCTCAGTGCTAATGAATCTGCCTCCCAACGCAGAAGACACGGGTTCGATCCCTAGGTTGGGAAGATCCCCTGGAGAAGGAAATATCAACCCACTCTAGTATTCTTGACTGGAGAATTCCTTGGATAGAGGAGCCTGATGGGCTATGGTGCATGGGGTCGCAAAGAGTTGGACATGACTGAATGACTGAGCATGCATGTGTGAAGGGAACTAGCCCCCTCATGATGCAACTAAAGATCCCAAATGCTGCAGTAAAGATCCTGTGTGTCACAACTAAGACTTGGGATAGCCAAATAAATTTTTTTTTTAATTCTTTTTTTTTCAATTTTAGAGGTATTTCATATTTTCTGGTACTAAATCTCTGAAACCTGGTGTGTATATTTGTAACACATCTCTATTCAGATCTGCCTCCTTCTAAGTACTTGTTAAGTCACATGCAACTCATGGTTTGTCTTAGATGATGTGTGTATAGGAGTCTGGGTCTTATCCTAATGCTTGGACCAGCGTCTTTCTGGTCTTGAGTGTAATCAAGGACCCCTGGCTCTGACATGCTCTGTCCAAGTTTGAGTCTGTAGGACAGGGAGCCCTGAACTTGTGGAGACAGGCCAATAATGACATCTCTTTGTTCCATTGACAGAGATGCTCAAAACCTCTTAGAAGCAGCTAGCAGTGGCGCTGCCTTGTCCGTGAAGGTCGTGACTAACATCGCAGCCAACCTGATTGCCTTTCTGGCTGTGCTGGACTTCATCAACGCTGCCCTTTCCTGGCTGGGAAACATGGTGGACATCCAGGGGCTCAGCTTCCAGGTACAGTCCCCCTTGACCTGCGGAGGGGGTGGTCCTGGCCAGGGTGACTGACCCACAGAGCCCAGGTCAACCCCAGTCCCAGCGGCTCCTCTTGCCTTGCACCTCAGCTCATCTGCTCCTACATCCTGCGGCCAGTGGCCTTCCTGATGGGCGTGGCCTGGGAGGATTGCTCGGTGGTGGCGGAGCTGCTGGGGATGAAGCTCTTTCTGAACGAGTTCGTGGCCTATCAGGGGCTCTCCGAGTACAAGCAGCGCCGCCTGGCGGGCACTGAGGAGTGGGTCGGCTCTAAAAAGCAGTGGATCTCCGTGAGTGTCCCCGTCCCCTCACTGCGTCAGGGCATGATGCAGCTGTCCCCCTGCAGGCCTGGCTGAGACACACAGAGGTGGTCCTCAACCTCCCACATCCCGTTGCACTGGGCAACAAGACAGCTTCAGGCTTCACGGCCATCTTTCTCAAGGTCTCTCTATCTCTTGTCTTCCCTGATAGCTCAGTTGGTAAAGAATCTGCCTGAGTGCAGAAGACCTGGGTTCTATCCCTGGGTTGGGAAGAGCCCCTGGAGAAGGGAAAGGTTACCCACTCCAGTATTCTGGCCTGGAGAATTCCATGAACTGTATAGTCCATGAGGTCGCAAAGACTCGGACATGAGTGAGTGACTTTCACTTCACTTCACTTCTCTATCTCTTGAAGATACCAGAGCTCCAGCTGTAGACGGGCTACCATCCTGTGGCCTTGGGCCAGCCGCTGCATCTTGCCTCTTCTGTTGGAAAACCAGTATCATACCTGCCACCCCTACTCCAAAGGAATGGGTGTGAGACTCCAATAAGGAGCTAAGAGAGTAAAACAGAAAGACCTCACCACATTAATCTCCAATATATGGGATTCAGCTCAGGGGTTGGTTTGTTCAGTTAAGGGTTAAAAAAAAAAAAACTATAAAAAGCTTTCTAAAATGAAACTCTCTAAAAGAATAACAGCCAATGTAACATGATTAAGAATAAAAAAAATACCCATCATATCATCATCTTCAAATGACAGCTATTATAATATATAATCAATTACATCTAATTATATGATAATAAATCTAAACATAACAATATAATATCTAATTCCACTGTTTGGCTCTTATACCCAATGCTGAAATGAGTAGCTTTTGCACTGAACTTTTCCCTCTTCTCTGATGGTTTCCTCGGGAGCTTTGCCAGATGTGGGATGACTGAATCGTATGGCATGAATCCTTGTGTGGGTGCTGCCAGTAACTTTTGCAAAGGGTTATAGCAACCTAAACTACCCCAGATGTGCCTGTGAGCATTGATTTCACCACACACTGAACAGGGCAGAGCAGACTCTTTTTAAAAAAAAGAAGTCTTTCTGCTTTAATGGGCAAATAATAGCTCATTGTTTTAATGTGTGTTTCCTGGGTTACTAGGAATTTTTAACATAAAATATTTTTTCTTGTCTTTTAAATTATTTTTTTAATGATAAAGAAATGTGCTCTTTAGTTTTTTTTTTTTTTAAAGAAGGTTTATATGGAGTAAAAAGCTCAGGTTTCCCCTCACTCCTAAGTTTCAGCTCCAGTTTCACTGTCTTCTCTAGAGACAGTGGCGATATGTACCTTGGGGCTTCCCTGGTGGTTCAGCGGTAAAGAATCCACCTGCAATTCAGGAGACACAGGTTTGATCCCTGGATTGGAAAGATCACCTGGAGGAGGAAATGGCAACCCATTTCAGTATTCTTGCCTGGGAAATCCCATGGACAGAGAAGCCTGACAGGCTACAGTCCATGGGGTCTCAGAGTCAGACATGACTAAAGTGATTAAGCACACACATACACATGTGCCTTCAGGATCTTTTTCAATGAGCTTCATTCCTTTAGCAAGTATTTGTTGAGACCTCTGAGGTGCCAGGCCCTCTGCTGGGTGCCAGGAATAAAAAGGGGGATTAGACAGACATGGTCCCTGGTGACATGGAACTTACATTTAGTGAAAGACACAAGAAAACAAAGGAATAAAAAAATTTAAACCACAATCTGTGGTAAGTTCTATGATGGAAACAATAAGAGGAATCAGGGAGGGGGTCTATCCTTGACTAGACAGGACTGACTGGACAGGGAAGGCCTCCCTAGTGAGTTCCTGGTGGTTCAGTGATTAAGACTCTTCGCTTCCACTGAAGGGGGCTCAGGTTCTATCCACGGAGAGGGAACGAAGATTCCACGTGCCACACATTGCGGCCAAAGAAAGCCCCGCCCCCTGAGATGGATACTTAGACCAAGACTTGGAGGGAGGAGCAGAGGCCAGAAGAAATGGGGATTAGCATTTCAGGCAAAGAAAGAGGTACATGCAAAGGCTCTGAGGTTGCCCAAAGCACTGGTTTGGAGAAGTGAGAAAAGTCCACTTGGAACAAGTGGAAATTGTAACAGGGTGGCCCAGGCCAAAGAGCAGTTGGAAGTTACTGAAGATTTGACTTCTGACATTTTAGCATTACTTGGGCTGCTGTTTGGAGGGTGATTGTAGGTGAGTAAGCAGAATGCAAGTACCCTAATATTTTTAAGTTGATTTATAAAAACTCTGTACGTTATAAAGACATTAACTCTTTTCCATTTTCTATTTTAAATTTTTTTGGCCACGCCACGCATCATGTAGGATCTTAGCCCCCCAATCAGGAATCAAACTTGGACTGCTTGCATTGGAAGCATGGAATCTTAACCACCAGGGAAGTCCCACATTTTCTACATATATTTTTCCTTGTCTTTTTTATTTCCTTTCCATTCATTCCATATTCAGGAATATTTTTTAAAATACAAATTTATACCAAATCTTTGCATTTCTTATATTATTTCTAAATTTAGAGACTTACCTCCATTCCAGAAACCTGGTAAGGTTTAGGTTCCTGAAACAGTATGATGAAGTAGTTAAAATGGGGCACTCTTGGGAGTCAGACCAAACTGAGTTCAAATTGTGACACAGCTGCCTTTTTGCTGTGTGAACTTCTTCAGTCACTTCTACTCCTAGAAGTTTGCTCCTCTCCAGGATGAGAGCAATAAGGCTATTCTGTAACAATAGTATTATTATCCTATATTTTCTAATATTTAATGTTTTAAAATGTTAATATTTATCTGCTTTAATGATCTAGAATTAAATTTTTTATATGGTGTGAGGTATGGGTCTAAGCCTATCTTTTTTTTTCCCCAAATTGTTCCATTTCGGCTCTTAGTACTTCTAGGAAATTACACAACTGTTCAGAGCAAAAGGGAAAGAGAGTTATGTTGCTTAAATACCTACTCTAGGGACTTCCCTGGTGATGCAGCAGTTAAGACTCCATACTTCCAATGCAGGGGCACGGGTTCAATCCCTGGTTGGGGAACTAACACAAGCTGTGTGGCCTGGTCAAAAAGTTAAAAATTAAATAAAATCCGAAATTAATATAGAAAAAGAAATAAATACCTACTCTATGCCTAGTTCTTCCTATACATGATATGATCTCTATGACAATCCTCAGTCAGATACTGTTATTCCCACATTCCTGATGGAGAAGCTGAATTTAGGTTCCACCCTGGGTCAGGAAGATCCCCTGGAGGAGGGCATGGCAACCCACTCCAGTATTCTTGCCTGGAACAGAGGAGCCTGGGGGGGCCACAGTCCATGGGTCACAAAGAGTTGGACACGACTGAAGCGACTTAGCATGCCTGGGGTGGTTTGAGCACATCCCCGTGGGAAGCCCATCACCTCTCATCTTCTGCCTCCTCAGGTCAGAGCAGAAATCCTCACAACGTATGCTCTCTGTGGATTCGCCAACTTCAGCTCCATTGGGATCATGCTGGGAGGCCTGAGTGAGTCCTAGAGGGGCCTCCCTGGCCTCCTATAAAGGGCGGGTCTTGAGGGGGGTTGGTCTCCAGTTCTGGCTCTCGGATACCTACAACTTCCTAGGGATCTGTATGCCTCAGTTCTCCTCTTGGTCTAAGGCAGAGTATGAACAAGGAGGTCATGGAACTTCCTCCCAGCCCTGGAATTTCATGACTTCTCTGCTGCTCAGTTGTCCCAGGAGGTCAGCACCTTGGCCTCGTAGGGCAAACCTGGCTCCGGGCCCTAGGGAGGGTCTGGAGGTACCGTGTTGGCTGCCTGGCTGAAGCTTTGACCTGCCAGTTCCTATTTCCCCAGTGGACAGACAGGTCCAGTGAGGCCTGGGGATGAAGGCTCTATAGAGCTATCAGCTTTTTACAAAAAACCTTTCCACCCTTCACAGTCCCCTGCCTGGTGGTGCAACCATCCCGTTTTATTGACAAGGAAACCGAGTCGTGCAAAGGTGAAATGTGACCTGAGTCACTCAGCTATTAAGTGGCTGTTACCTGTCACTGTGTTAGTCGTGCAGTCGTGCCCGACTCTTTGCAACCCCATGGACTGCAACCCGTCGGGCTCCTCTTGCCATGGAATTCTCCTGGCAAGAATACTGGAGTGGGTTGCCATTCCCTTTCCAGGGGATCTTCCCGACCCAGGGATACAACCCGGGTCTCCTGCATTGCAAGCAGGAGATTTCTTTACCATCTGAGCCACCAGGGAAGCCTAATAAGTGGCTGAACCTGTGTTTAATCCCGGGTCTGCCTGACTCCAAACTCAATGTTCTTTCCCTACACCTGCCGCTGATGGCACGTGGGGAGGTGTGGGACACTACCTAGTCAGGCCAAGGAGGACTCTCAGACTCAACAGGCCTCAGGAGGACAGCGTCTGCTCCTCTGGCCCCCCAGAAGAGGAAGAGGGGTCAGCAGACGCAGCCAGAGACGCAGAGAGGGGGAAGAGGGGCCTGCGGAGTCCTGGCCCTGAGCCCTCCCGTCCCCCTGCAGCCTCCATGGCTCCCCAGCGGAAGAGCGACTTCTCCCAGATCGTGCTCCGCGCGCTCTGCACGGGGGCCTGTGTGTCTCTGGTGAATGCCTGTGTGGCCGGTGAGTGCAGGCCTGGTGGGCTCAGGACTCAGTCCAGGGCCAGGCACTGGGGCCCCAACCTCTCCGGCAGTCCTTGGGTGGGGTTGCGGGGATAGTAAGGGGCTGGACCCTGCCCACTAGCTGCTTTCCCCACACAGGGATCCTCTACATGCCCAGGGGCCCTGCGGTGGACTGTGTGTCCCTCCTGAACACGACCCTCAACAGCAGCAGCTTTGAGGTGTACCAGTGCTGCCACCAGGCCTTCCAGAGGTGAGTGCCTGGGCCGGGGGTGGGGTGCTGACAGTGATGGGGTGCAGAGGCCTGAGTACTGGGGTGGGGGAGGCCTTTGGTACCAGAACAAGGGGGTAGAAATGTTATGGCTGTGGCTGATGTAACCAACGGAAGAGGAAGTGGGGCCTGAGGACCAAACTTAGAAGAAGTTAGGACCAGAGACATGGAGCAACTTCCCTGAAGTTGCTCAGCCTTTAGTGGTCAGCAGAGCCCAGGCCTGGAGCGCAGACTACAGATTCTGCTTCTTTTCAGCACCAGCCCGGAGTTCAGCCTAGAGGCCCTGGACAACTGCTGTCGGTTCTATAATCACACGATCTGTGCGTAGCGGGGACAGCACATCTCTGTCTTCTGGGTGTTATTCTCTCCCAGGAAGCAGCTGCCGCCACCCTTCTCTCTCCAGGCCCCCCTCTCCTGGGGGAAGCCACAGGGCTTAGACCACCTCAGGCACAAATCGGGAAGGGTGACCAGGGACTGGGTGGAATGATGGGTGCCCCCCCACCCTTCACCCCCTTTCTGCTCTCGTGTTTCCTCCCTCCTCAAATGTGAATGCTCAGAGTCGCCTCTGCCTCCTCTGTCTTCTCTGTCCCCCGTGCCCTGGGTCTCCCCTGTTTGCGCTCCCCTTCTGCTCTGGGGCCCTCAGCCCTGGCATTTCAGCCGCCTCCTTCCCTTCTCCTCTCTGGGCACGCAAATCTCGCTCTGGCTTAACCCCTGCCACATGGCTTCTCCTGGAGATGCTTTCCTCCACTTTCATAGACTCCCCTACTGCCCTCCCACACAGCACTTTCCAGATTGGTGGGCTGTGTAGCACTGTCCTCCAAGGTATGCAGAGGTTTCCATGATCCACTCGGTTTGGGAAACACTGGGCTAAATAAAGTTAGGGTTTTTTTTTTTTGTTTTGTCTGTTTTTCTCACTGTGGACTTGTCAGAGTTTGATGTGGATATGAGAGGAGACGTTTTCCAAATGGGGCTGTAAGAATCTTCTGATGGAAGTACCTTTTAGTTGAGGATCCCGTGGGAAGCAATCTGGGAAACACTGGCTGATGTTCAGACTGCGTTACTCTCCATAACTGTAACCTTTGTAGACGTTTACCTCGCGCTGCGTGTCAGTGAGCTGCTCTCTGTGCTGCATACTGTGTAACTCAATCCTTACCACAAGCCTGTGAGGCGGGGACTGTTGTCATCCCTAGTTGAGGGACCAGAGTCAGAGAGGTTAAGTCACTTGCCTGAAGTGGCACAGCTAGGAAGAGGAAGAGGCAGGACTTGATCCCCAGCCATCCAGTTCCACCAGCTGTGGTGTCTGGTCTCTCTGCTAGGCTGCTAAGAGCTCGGTCGCGTGACTTGCCCTCCGCCCTCTGCTTGCCTCTTCTCCCCAGCCCCGTCCCTCTGCTCCAGCAGGTCAGGCATCTGATGTGTTTTCTGTGCCTCTGAGCTTTGGTTTCTGGAGTTCCTGTCACCCAGCATGTCCTGCCCTATGCTCCTTGCACTCTGTCCTCATTTCCCTAGCAGCTTTGGCTACTGGGGCCTGCAGGGTGCCTGTCCCCCCATTGGCCATGGGGCACCTGTCCCCTCACCCACCTCTGTTGGATAAGGCTCCCCAGCTGGGGCCTGAGGCAGAGGCCCAGCTGGTCAGCAGTTACCCTGCTCTGTCAAGGATCTGGGCTCTACTGGGCACTGGTCTTGCTCCTTGTGACCCCCACGGGCTGGCCCTGGGTCCCTTCTGCAGGGCCCGTGTTCTTGCCCTTAGCTCTGCATAGCAGAGTCAGTGGCCTCACTCCCAGGCCCCAGGGCAAGCCTCTTCCTTGCTCCCTGCAGCCCCAGCTCCCCTTGAGCTGTCACAGGAGGCCCTCCTGACTGGACATTACAGCTGTCTCTTAGTATCTGGGTGCCATCCCTTCCCCAACCTCCTTTCCTGGACCACCTGTACACATCACCTGGCCAGTCACATTCCCGGGAGGACTGTTGGCCCCTCAAAGACAGGACGCAGATGTTTCTGGGTCCTCATGGTGCTCAGTACAATGCTGGGCCTGTGAAAAGTGGTGGTTTCCCAGGTGGCACCAGTGGTAAAGAACCTGCCTACCCATGCAAGAGACTTAAAGAGATGCAAGTTTGATCCCTGGGTCGGGAAAATCTCCCTGGAGCACGGTATGGCAACCCATTCCAGTATTGTTGCCTGGAGAATCCCATGGACAGAGGAGCCTGGCAGGCTACAGTCCATGACATCACCAACAGTTGGACATGNCTTCGGCACTCAGTCTTCTTTATAGTCCAACTCTCACATCCGTACATGACTACTGGAAAAACCATAGCTTTGACTAGACAGACCTTTGTTGGCAAAGTAATGTCTCTGCTTTTTAGTGCCTGTGCCTAATTGCACCCTAAGCAATAGCTTCTGGGTCAGGATTGGCCTGGATGCCTCCACTTAGCCCACCCACAGTCATGACAGGCATTGCTAATCAATCACAGCATTCCTTGCAGTGAATCCAAAAGGGGCTCCAGAATCCGGATGAGCTCAGTACTGGACAAGCCCACCACCAAGTGATTCAGGGTGCGTTTACCAGACCCCAAGGACCCAAACTGATTTTGTGTCACTGGCCTGGAAACATCTCAGGTTTTGTGAAACACTCTAGAAATCAATGAGGACAGGGTTGCCTAGTGGTTAAGGCCAAGGGGTTAAGCTGCTAGTTCACTGTGCTCTATATACATGAGTTCAAATCCCACCTTCATCAGATGTGTGCTTTGGGACTTCCCTGGTGACCAGATGGTAAAGAATCTACCTGCAACTCAGGAGACCGGGGTTCAATCCCTGGGTCAGGAAGATCCCCTGGAGGAGGAAATAGCAACCCACTCCAGTATTCTTACCTTGGAAATCCCATGGACAGAGGCTATAGTCCACGGGGTCAAAAAGAGTCAGAGACAGCTGAGCAACTAACACTTTTGCTAGGAAATCAAGGGGAGTTGAAGCAAAGAGTGAATCCTGTGAAAGTACTTTGTCCTCTCCAGGTTTGTATATTGCTTGTTTATTCAGTCAAGTACCTAAGATCTTACTTGGCTTGATTTCCCAGTACTGCAGACTGCATAGCTGAAAACAGAAATTAATTTTGTCAAAGTTTTGGAGGTTAGAAGTCCAAGGTTAGGGTGCCTGCATGGTTGGCTTCTGGTGAGGTCTCTTTTCCTGATTTATAGACACCACCCTATTGCCGTGTCCTCATACAGCAAAGAGAGACAGCAGCTCCCCAGTTTCTTTTAATAAAGGCCCTAATCTCGCCCATCATGGGTACACCACTGTCATGACTTCATCTAACATGGCTTACTTGCAAAGGTCCCCATCTCCAAATACTGTCACACTGGGGGTTAAGGCTCCAACATAGGAATCTAGGGACACACAGTTCAGTCTGTAACACCTACTATGGGCTGGACTGTGAGCTAGGTAGAGGGACAGTGGTGAACCAGACTGTGTAATGAGCTAAAGAGCTGGAAAATTCCTGCAAGAAGAGGATCCACTGGGAAGGGAAGCCCCAGCAGAGGCTGGGTGGAGATGGCCTCTGGGGAGGAGTCCTTGAGAGGAGGGAAGGGGAAAGTGACTCCAGTGGGGCTGGTGGGGTGGGTACCCATCATGGCCTGGCCAATGGCAATTTTTGAGGCTCTTAGTATATTATAAAGTGAAAATAATGCCAGAATAGGATTATACAAATTGCCACTTAAATTTTTATGTATTTTAACACAATACACTGTAGTATCAGGTTATCTACAAGATAATAACAGGACTCTTTTTTTTTTTCCCCAACTAAAGCCCAAGTCAGTAATTTAAACAACCATTTCTATTTATACCAAATATTTGAAAGCACTGAATCCTAGTCACTAGACCACCAGGGATATATCAAATATTTGAACATGCTTGTGTGTTTTTACATAAATTAGGTTTCTTGAAATATGCAGATTCTGTGCTCTTCTATACTTGGTGTGATATCAATCCACATACAAGAAATATTTATAATTTTTTTAAAATTTATTTTATTGAAGTATAATTGATTTGAAATATTGTGTTAGTTTCCCATGTATAGCAAAGTGATTCAGTTTTTTATATATATGTGTGTGTGTATATAGTTTACATCTGCTAATCCCAGACTCCCAATCCATCCCTTCCCTATTACTTTTCCCCCTTGGCAACCACCAGTGTTCTCTGTGTCTGTGAGTCTGTTTCTGTTTCATAGATAAGTTCATTTGTGTCATATTTTAGATTTCATATATAAGTGATATCATGTGGTATTCGTCTTTCTGACTGTCTTTGCTGAGTATGATAATCTCTAGGTCCATCCACATTGCTGCAAATGGCATTATTTGTTTTTTATGGCTGAGCAGTATTCTATCATATATATATGTATGTATATAAGCCACATTTTCTTTGTCCACTAAACTATTGGTGTAAATTTATGTTGTTTCCACGTCTTGGCTATTGTAAATAGCGCTGCTATTACATAGGTGGTTCAGACAGGGCTTCCCTGGTGGCTAAGANCACTAAACTATTGGTGTAAATTTATGTTGTTTCCACGTCTTGGCTATTGTAAATAGCGCTGCTATTACATAGGTGGTTCAGACAGGGCTTCCCTGGTGGCTAAGAGGGTAAAGAGTCTGTCTACAATGCAGGAAACCCGGGTTTGATTCCTGGGTCAGGAAGATCCTCTGGAGAAGGAAATAGCAACCCACTCCAGTACCCTTGCATGGAAAATTCCATGGATGGAGAAGCCTGGTAGGCTACAGCCCATGGGGTCACAAAGAGTTGGACACAACTGAGCAACTCCACTTTCTTTCACTTCAGACAGTAAAGAATCCGTCTGCAATGCAGAAGATAGAGGTTCAATCCCTAGGTTGGGAAGATCCCCTGGAAAAGGGAATGGCTACCCACTCCAGTATTCTTGCCTGGAGAATTCCATGGCCAGAGGAACCTGGTGGGCTACAGTCCATGGGGTTGCAAAGAGTCGGACACGACTGAGTGACTAACACTTTCATGAGCATGGTGGGTACATGTATCTTTTCCATTATAGTTTTGTCTGGGTATACACCCAGGAGTAGAATTGCAAGGTCATATGGTAGCTCTATTTTTAGTGTTTTGCTTTTTGTTTTAGTTCTTTTGAGAGACCGCCATACTGTTTTCCATAGCAGTTGCACCAATTTATATCCCCACCAACAATGTAAGAGGGTTCCCTTTTCTCCAGACCCTCTCCAGAATTTGCCGTTTGTAGGCTTTTTAATGATGGCCATTCTGACTGGTGCGTGGTGGTACTTCATTGTAGTTTTGATTTGCATTTCTCTTAACAATTGGTGATACTGGGCGTCTTTTCACTTGCCTGTGGGCCATCTGTATTTATCATTTTAAATTCAGCTCTGGTGGGATGGCCTGGTCAGGGACTCCTCTTAGTCACATGACTATATGAATGGCTGCATTTGGAGAAAGCAGTAAGGGTCGACATCGGAAGCCCTTTCAGGATTCGAGGCTCCTGCTCCCCTCCTGCTGCTCCCTGCATGTGCCTGACCACGAGTGAAAGGAATTGAAAGGGCTTTGCTCATGGAAAGGCCTGGATGCCCAGAGCGTGGTGAGAGCAGGCCTTTCCCAGACGGGGCTGGCTGTGGCTGCCCGTGGAGCTGACTGCAGATAGGAGTTGACCACAGCCAGGCTCAGAGCAGCAGAGTGCTGCCCGTGGGGGCACCACAGAGGGACTGTCCTGCCTGTGGGGGGAGGGCAGTGAGAACGGCATGCCCTGTAGGGAAGGTCACTGCCACGAGGTTGGGGGGTGGGGCCCAGACAGCTGCCCACTGTGGAGGTGTCCAGGCCTCACTCACATCTGGGATCAAGGGGCAAATGCAGGGTGGGTAAGGAGAAGGGGGCAGCCTGG